TTTTTTATCCGACATCGATCTTTTGAGGTCGTCCCTTATGGTACTAAGTATTTGATCAATGTTAATGTAGAAGTTCATAATTTGACTGTTGTACATATTTTGAATTTGTATTCCGTATAAAAAAAAGTTTCATTGCCGTTCAAAAATTAAAATGCCAACCAAATGAAGGCTTGGTCTCGCATTAGCATTTTAAAATCACTGCTCTGTAAACATGTTTAAAAGGAGGGAAATCCGCGAAACAAGTTGAGGCAAGTTTAAAGAACAAAGATCAACAATGCATTATTCTAGAGATTCTAAATTAAAATGGGGATTTAAATGGAATGACTGAGACATTCGGTTTTTTAAAACACAAACTAGGTTAACTCATTTTTTTTCTTCACTTACAGATTTCAGATATCTCGCTTTGAACAAAGACACAGGGGAAACAGTTGCTGGTTGGCAGTAGTCAGTTTGCCATGCCCTGGCAATGGGCGGTCAAAGTACAGTCAGTGTATATTTTGGCTTGATGAAAATCATCGCTAACACCCGTCTTTCGAAAACGGTGAATGTAACCAGGAATTTAAACATACCTTACACTTATGTGGTGTTGTGATTATAATCAGAGGGTCTATGTTATAATATAGAAACAAGTAAAGCTACGTGGGTTGGGTTATCTGGCACAAAATATCGAGTTAAAAACAAGTATCATGTACCATTTATTTACGGGGATATCGATGTCATATAGTGTAGGAAATAGCCTAAATATCCGCTGAAATCTCAAAGTCGTGCTATCACCAACTCTACCAAAATCTGTCATTTCGACAAAAGACATACGTGAATAGCGCGAGAGGTCCGCCATGATTTGGAAGCCAATGGAACTTGTTCAGTGTTCCTTTCGTTTAATCGCGAGATTTCGAAAACTTTATTTAAAAAAAATATCAAACAAATATTTTTTCGAATTTGTAGAGAAATGTCCTAGAAGCGATGGCAGTAAGTCCAGGCTGACAAAAGTGTAGCAAATATATTGATTCTACACAGCCCATTACGACGCCAGCGTGAAATCAGCTTGCTACATATAGTTCAGATCGAAGGGAACAACACCAAACGAGTCACGCGGATCGTTCTTGATAGACTTCCGCATATTATTATTTTGAATACAGTATTATATTTGCAACATAATAGATCGAGCAATACTTTATAAACACAATCATAAACACGGGGATAGTGTGACAAGTCAGATAATACCATTTCTGTGGATTAAACACAGGGTTGTGGGATCGGTCAAAAGCCTATGGCCCCGTCACATTCGTACCGGGGCATCATTTTTGCGATCGATCAAGCGCTGCAAATGCATCCATAATTACCTGTAATACCTAGAAGCAGCCATGGTTAATGTCCTCTATATCACAGCGTTGTTCTGGCAGGTATGTTTAGCCGATCGTGATCGGCAAGACAGAATGATCGTAAGTTTCAGCCCCAGTAGGATTTTACTGAGGTCTTTAGCAGTAGCAACAATGGCGTCTTGTGGAAATTGAATTTGCGCGCTCGTCATAATGATATGCAGGAAACTGGGCGCTGATTGGCGTTCACTGTTGTGACATCAGAATATTTAATTACGCCATTCAACCCATTTGTTACGTTTCCCCTGTCAAAAATAAGTCGTCGAACTCTGAATTCTCGGTATGCACAGAGCAGATTAGAACATGGGGTGCCTCTTTGAACATATGCACTATAATATGACATTTTCTTACGTGATCGAATGTAGTTCACTATAAAATGCTTCCCGCCGATAACATAACTTATATTTTACTTGGCACCCATTCATGTAAATGTGTCCTGGCAAGTTCACGAATTGCGCCTAAACAAAAGATCTTAATTTTTTCACTATTTCTCCTAGTATTGGCTGCGATTATATTCGTAATATCGATGGATGGGAAATACATTCACATCAGTCTACGAGTACAATGTCCTCAATGAATGAAATCAGTTAAAAACATAATCAAATGTAGGAAGGGGTAGAAACGTGGAATCATCAACCGTGTATATATTTACAAATACAAAACTATATGAAAAATGTGAAGTATTCGAAAAAAAAATAATTATGATCTGCCTGCCTAATATCAGCAGATGAGACAGCCTGCTATATTTGAAAATTATAATGATAATATAGGCAAATGATTATAGAAAATACACTAAAATATAAAACAAGGGCGTGACGCCATGCGAGATCAAATTGTAAACTCGGATTGTTTCTTCGATGGGATCGTTTCTTTGGTGCAATATCTAGTGACTTTGTCTCGAATCTAACCCCACCGGTTAATATATTATATTGTTTATTGGAACTTGTATGTACAATTAACTAATCATTATATATATGTATATATCTGTTCTATTTTTATAGAAGAACCTTCCCAAATAAAAAAAAAATCTAAAATTTAAAAATATAAGAGGTAGTCACTAAACCATGTACTTTCACACTCAAGCAAGAGAATAGACATGTTGGTGAACTAGCCTTGCACTGTGAGTGTTTTATTGTTTACACTCCAGTTTTTTTCACAAATAAAAAAAAATTTAGAAAAAAGAACTGCAGACCACACTTCTTTATATTTTTTAGTGGGCAAGCCATGTTTCCACATACTACAAAAATACACATAATATTTCTATTTAATTTATTTTATTTAAAAAAAATATATTTTAGAAGCATAACAATACAACG